ACCGATATCGATGTAATGTCATCTTTTCCGCGGGCAGTCTCGTAGTGCATCTGCTCCTTGATAAGCTGCTTGAGTATGAACAACAGTAGTTCGCTCGAAGACTGATTTGTCGTGAGATACTTGGTGAAAGTCTAAAATCGGCCCTACTAAACAATACCAAAAATGAGTGAATCTTTTGAAACAACCTTTCGCATTTGACGGACAATCGAAGCCTTCTGAGTGCTTATGAAGCTTTCCAACATCATCCGTATTGCAGCTTGTACATCATCGTCATTCACATACCTGTAGAAAAGCAGTCTCGCAGATGAGGAAAGGCAAATTCTCTAATTCCATCAAGTCCACAGCACCTACAGCAAAAGAACAATGTGGGAGGAAATTAGAATCAACTTACGTTCGCAGATGCAATTTAGCATGCGCTTCTGCGAGACGAATCATTGACTCGACATGACGAACTGTAACAGCAACGGAACCCGTGGCCTAAAGCAAAACGTCTTTAGATACCAGTAGCAAATTTCATTTCTCTTACCATGCTCTGTTTTCGCAGTTGTGCGAAAACGGTGGCAAGCTTTTCTGTGTGCTTTTCATGAAGTGTGGGATGACAGTTTTCCCGTGCATAAAGTATGTATTTTCTGAGGAGATCTTGTGGGATAAGAACCACTCCAGTTCTCGCATCCACCACATTCTGAAAATTCCGGTATGGAAAAAATTTTGGCAAACTGAGAAATCCTCCAGACCTCCTCATCGTGCTCATCATCATCATCATCATCAACTTGGTTGGCAGGATGCAGCTTTACATGATTACCAACCACGAACTTAGCAAGCCTATATAGGAACAGAATAAAAATTAATAAATTCTACCAGCTATAGAGCTGTACCTCTCATCCTCAACTGGGTCCACTGTATCCCTGATCACGCATAGCACATCAAATCGGGACAATATTGGTTCTGTTAGGTCCACATTCTCAGCAAATGTTCGTGATGGATTGTAACTAAAGGATATAGAGTCCTCATAGTAATTTCAGCAAAAAAGAAAATTCCCACCGTCCTCCAATCGGATTGGCAGCAGCGATTACAGTACATCTTGCATGCAGAGA